GGCAGCACGAGCGCAGCCCGGCGCAGTGGCGGCGGCGCAATTTATCGAGGAAAGCAGGCCCGAAAACAGAGAGATTACGCGCGGCCGCTCGTACTTGCGGGCACGGAGAGCTGAGTTACAGCGCGTGGAGAATGGGTCCTGAAAACAGCGCCCTGCCGGCTGGCCCGGTTGTCTTCAGGAAAGCGTGATGAGAGATGGTGACGGCGGGAGGCCTGCGAGCCCGCACGTCCCGTGACGGCACCGACAACGAGGCGAGGCCAGCGAGCCGCGGACGGCTCTAATGTGGCGCAGACGGCACCGACGGAGAGGCGAGGCGAACCAGCCGCGGACGGCTCTAATGCGGCGCAGACGGCACCGACAGCGAGACGAGGCTAGCGAGCCGCGGACGGCTCTAATGCGGCGCAGACGGCACCAACGGCGAGGCGGGGCGAACGAGACGCGGACGGCTCTAATACGGCGCAGACGGCACCGACAGCGAGGCGAGACTAGCGAGCCGCGGACGGCTCTAATGCGGCGCAGACGGCACCAACAGCGAGGCGAGGCCAGGGAGCCGCAGACGGCCCTAATGCGGCGCAGACGGCACCGACATCGAGGCGAGGCCAGGGAGCCGCAGACGGCCCTAATGCGGCGCAGGCGACACCAACAGCGAGGCGAGGCCAGGGAGCCGCAGACGGCTCCAATGCGGCGCAGACGGCACCGAAGGCGAGACGAGGCCAGGGAGCCGCATAAGTAAGCGGCGATGATTTTGGACGGTGAGGAGAGGGAGCCGCGGACGGCTCTAATGCGGCGCAGACGGCGCGAGCCAGACGCTGGCGAGTCTGGTGGCCCATGCGGCGCATTTCTCCTGTCCGATCCGGCGGAGATTGAACAGTGCCGAGATGGAGAGGCCTGGCCGGCTCAGGAGGTCCGTGACCGATCGGTATCTGGGGCCAGAAGTAGGATGCGCCGTGTGGCCTTTCGGGGACGGTAATATTTCACTTGAGTATATGTTCTGACACGAGTGTTGGAAAGTGTGCCCCCACCATTGTCGCCTTTAGAAATGTGCCTGTTCCGGATCTCCAGGAGGGGTTGTTTTGACAACAATCGTTTACGATCTTTTTGATATATTAGCTCAAATCCGATGCAAGCTTTCCAGCTGATGTGGGAAGATCCCTCGAATACTACCTGAAAGAAACACTACCTGCAAGAAAAAGTTCAGATGACTGCGGCATACCTGACATACAACATAATTAGCCATCAGAAATGCGGAATATGTCGAAACAACCCTACCAGCGAAAGGATGTCTGCTAATATGACGCAAAACACAAAAAAACAATTAGCGGTAATGTTGTGAATCATAAGTAAGCGGCGATGATTGGGGTCCGTGAATGCATTGCTGCTTACACACGGGACACTCAGTCACCCCACAGCATTATTTCTGGAGATATTCTTACGGTCGCTGGAATGTGAAGATGAATTATGTCATTTTTCAAGGAAAAAAACCGTATTGTAGATTAGTCTGAACAAAGGGTTACCAACTGCGTGCTACTGACTTATGCAGGGTCATAGATTCCACCAGCAATACGTACATTGCGTATGTGGGAGCCTACTGAATTTGATACCGAATTACGCACATTTCTTGTGCGCAACGTTGCAAGCTGATTTTAGAAACACTTGTGCCACACTCGTTTAAAAAGGTACCCTGTTGAATCATTTGGGTTACACACTAGCTGCTGACAAGCAACACGCAAAGTATCATGATACTGGGTTTCACCACCCCTACTGGGTTTTAAGGCTTACATTGAGCAAAAATATTACTTTTCTAACTCACTTAGTTTGTATCACACCAAACGAAATATATACGCACACCCCATTTTATTTTAACGGGAAAGTCGCACGTCCATAGCAGTAAATGGGCAACCCCTTTAGTCCATTTGTTCCAGTCATCGCCAGTATTAATGATTAACATTGAAAAAGTGAATCAACCACAACCCACCGGGTTCTCCCGTTCGGAAACTCACGCTCCTCAAGATTGCCCATTGATGCAGTACACCGGCATTGATTAATCGTTGTGGTTAAACGCCACGCTGGATGTTCTCGGCGCAGCCAAGCTTCGTTGGAGCAGTCTTGATGCACGACTCTGTTCGTGGGGCAAGCAAGCCGCATCTGATGCGAATCACTCTTATGCGCTGGTTGAAAAGACTTGGCACTCGACATCATTTCTTACATCCCGCAGCTTGTGATCGTAACTAGCATTTTGTTTTTAGAAAGTGGACTATGCGCGAATTTGCCGCAACTTTACAAAATGCTTCTGCCGCTTGGCAAAATGCCAAATGCAAAATACTTCTGCGCTTCTGATTTGGACCATAGCTGAATTAGGGGAATATTTACCTCGGGCATTCGTGACGTAACGTTGCGTGGCGTGATACAAATTTATCTGTGTTATTCGAACCACACACCGGGGGCATTATGACACGTTCAACCAATCGGGTAGGCAAGTCAGCGCTCAAAAAGTAACTGGCATGTATGCGTAGGTGGATGCATTGGTCAAACCGCTGCTGAATCAAACAGGTATTGCGACAGAATCTACAGAAAATAAATGGGATATCAAAACAGTGATTACGATTGAATGTACAAACATAGGGCATAGGAAAACGTTATTCCGACAACATTTAACTCGTTCTCAGGATATTACTGACTTTGTAATTTAGTTACGACAATATTGACTAAAATAATTGGGAGTTAACTTGAATGGCCGACAGTTTTACATCTTTTGTTTACGAATTAAAGGCATACCACATAATATAGTTATTTCTAATATTCAGGCTCTAAAGTTTAGTGGATTTGCTATATAAAACACGGTATCCAGTTACACGTGTCGTTGCGCAACAATCCGGGCCCGCCGTTTGTTTCTAACCCATTAAAACCATCGACCACCATTTGTATCTAGCGCAACAAGAACAATTGATCGCCGTTTGTTTGTGCCGCCATAATGTCAGACGTCGCGCAGCTGGGTCGGGCTCTGGGTCGGGCTCTCCCCGGCGGTGACGGAGTCTGAGCGGCCAGCTCTCCCCGGCGGTGACGGAGTCTGAGCGGCTGGGTCGGGCTCTCCCCGGCGGTGACGGAGTCTGAGCGGCCGGCTCTCCCCGGCGGTGATGGAGTCTGAGCGGCTGGATCGGGCTCTCCCCGGCGGTGACGGAGTCTGAGCGGCCGGCTCTCCCCGGCGGTGACGGAGTCTGAGCGGCCGGCTCTCCCCGGCGGTGACGGAGACTGAGCGGCCGGCTCTCCCCGGCGGTGACGGAGACTGAGCGGCCAGCTCTCCCCGGCGGTGACGGAGACTGAGCGGCCTCTCAGGCGCCGCGTGGGGCATCAGCCGGAGATGGTATCGGGACTGGGGCGGCCGGCTCTGATGTCGCCGGCCCGGCCCGTCGGCGAAGAGCACAGAAGCGGCGCCTATGGGCGTCACCGGCGGCCCGGGACCGGACATGGACGGCGGACGGTTTGGCGTCCCTCAGCCCCGACCTGACCTGGTGTGTGGGACAGAGACGGCCGGCCCTAGTGCAGTCTGACCTAGTACGTGGGACAAAGACGGCCGGGCCTGGTACAGTCAGGGCCGACCCGGGACCGGCCTGACCCAGCGGGAGCCGATCGAGCCTGGTCCGGCCTGGTCCGACCCGGCGTGGCCGAGCGTGAGTCGAAGGACTGGGCCCTGATCTGTCCTGGTGTCGCCCGATCTGTCCTGGTGTCGCCTGACCTGGCCGGACCCTGTTTAAATCGACTCAGCCTGCTCAGCCTGAGTAGGCTGGCCCCGAACCAGCCTCATATAGCACGATACAGCCGAGCCGGCACCTCGTCTGAAGCGCGTGACCACGGGCAATATGTGTGGTCGGGCCGAGCGTGAAGTCGGCCCTGAGCCCGGGAATCCAAGTCGTCGTGGTGAAGATAATCGCATGCTTATTTATCAAGCGGGCATTGCAGCGGCCCCGCCGTTGTCAATGAATTTATTTGGGTACCTTATCGCAGTCACGATGTTTCAGAGCCTGTTTTGAGTGAGCTGTTCCTCCTAAGCCATGGGGAAAGCTGACCTGGGCCCGCCCAGCATCCGCCCTCGCCCAGGTCGGATCGAGCTTCACGACACCCATAGCTGGGGCCACGGAACCGCCCTCGGCGGCAGCGTGAGATTCGCTGCTGAGTAACTCACTCTGTCCAGCTGAATTTTTGCTTAGGATTACTGGTTGTTCATAGGCAAGTTTTTTTTGCAGATACCTTGATATCAAACGGTTGAAGTGAACCAATATGATACCATTGCGAACCGAATTTGAAAATATAATCAACTCAGGCCATTTTGACAGCACCCTTGTTTGGCATTTCACATATGCTCGATTTGTTCATATATGTGGAATGTTGTGAACTGACTGGACAAGGTTCGGTTATTCGACTAGAAATGATTTCTGAAAGCTGAAGAAAGATGCGTTTTGTGGAAGGTTTCGCTTCAGTACATCTGAGAGTTATAATAATACTAAGTATACGTAATACGTAATATATATATATATATATATATATATATATATAATTACGTAATACTAAAAGTTTAAGGCTGACAAACAAAGAACACACCGAGGACACAGATCCACCCTGACATCAATGGCACTACAGTCATCAGCCGTCAGAGCCTAACTCACAATCACAGTTATCTAGCGAAACGGTAAGCTGTTCCGTCCATCTAGCTGCACAATAATAGCCTTTCCGCCGCACGCGCACTCGTAATTATTCTCCTCGGCCTAGCTACCAGCCCAGCGGCATTGTCCTTGAAGTCATAGTGAAGAGTGGGGAATGTGGCACAATCATTAATTTCAATTTCCCCCTCTACATGTACCCAAGTTCTTTTAGACAACGTATCACCATTGCGTTATTTCTAACACGGAAGCATGTCGGCACTGCCACTATCACACCAGGCAGGTATGCGGGCATAAACCTTAACGAGCTCGGGGGTTGCCACAGGCGACCCCAGCGGCACTCACCGCTCGAGTTGGAGACGCGCTTCTCGACCTCCTTGCGCTTGAGCTGCCGCTTGGCCTCCAGCTGGGGCGAGGTGTCGTCGGTGGACTTGTCGCCGACGGAGCCGGGTGTCGGAAGATGGCGGACTGCTGGCTGGCAGCGCTGCCGGCGGCCGAGGCGGCCGCGCTGAACGCCGGGGATGGCGCCGCGGAACTGGGCCGGCGTGGCGCGCACTGCAGCGACACATTGGGGGGGGCGCGGCTGGGGGGCTGGTCAGACTGGAGCAGGGGCTGGTCAGACTAGGGCACGGTTTGGTCACAATACCCCGCGGTCCATTCACACTAGGCGAGTGTAAGGTCTGGTCAGACTCGAGCAGGGCCGGTCGGAACGGGGAGGGTGTGCAGTTTGATCGCACTGGGAACGGGGAGGGTGTGGTAGTTTGATCGCACTGGGAACGGAGAGGGTGTGTAGTTTGACCGCAATGGAAACGGGGGAGGGTGTGCAGTTTGATCGCACTGGGACAACGGGGAGGGTGTGGCAGTTTGATCTCACTGGGAACGGGAAGGATGTGTAGTTTGATCGCGCAGGGCCAGTCGAAGGTAATTTAGCAGACAGCAGCGGTGGATACGGTCGTGGACATGACAGGATCAGGCGTGCGGAACGATCAGACTGGTAAGTGATCACGGTCTAATAAGACTGGGACAGGAAAAAAACATCTGTAGCATGATCAGACTTGGGAAGCTCGTACCATTGGACCCCTCGGAAAGAAATAGTAGAGAAGAATTGTGAAACAGAAAGGTCCGTCAAGGAAAAATGCAGCCTACCTTACCAACTGAGTGGCACCCACCTCATTTTGTAGGATCGCAAAAGAAAAAGGCTCTACCAGATGCTTGCACGCTCTCTGGCCACGCCGGGATGCCCTCTTAAAAACCTTGCCCTGGAGCTCGTTAGGCGAGCATCTCGGCTTCGCGGGCCAGCCTGGTCGCACGGCTGACCGCATAGCGCGATAGCCGCACACCTGGTACGCTGGCGGCCGCGGCGCGGGCTGGCGGAATACGAGCACGCAGGACGTGGTGAGCTGCGAATGCGTGGTGGTAGCACGCACGAGCACACGCAGCGTCCAGGCCACGTTTCGGGCGAAGGTTTACAAAAGCCGACTGATCCGCCACGTTGCTTAGGAAATCATATGCCACGCATGTCATGGGTTTTCGGTGCGTTTGTGTGTGTGCGTGGTTTTTTTGGTATTGAAACGCATGCGACATCGACACACTGTAAACCCCAATTATCTTCATAATCTTTTGTTTGCATTTGTTCGAGCACTTCACTATCGCGTATTACTAATACAGGTTCTGTAGCTTGTGCAGTTTAGCACTAATTTTGGGTCATTGCCATGCCCTGTGCTAACCTCGAATGACGTTGTCCTAATTACCTTACTACTCTCGGGTTACGTTCGACGTGTATGAGTAAGCCCAGACGACGATTGCTATCATTGAGCACGATCATCGAAGCTATCTAAACCCTCACGTGATAATTACGTCAGATGGTATCGATGAACTGAACCATAGAAGTTTCCAACGATATTTCAAGCTGGCTACAAGCGACAATTTTCACACCAACTCGGTGAAACGTTTTGAATCAGCTTTCTGACACGCGTATGGCTAATTGCGCGGCACATTACGGCTCTCCGAGCCACGAGGCATGTGCACAAACACTAACACGGTCGTCAGCCTTTGTTTACCCTGGCTTCAAACCAAGCGAAGTGCGAGTAGCCTCACAGCATACACTCGGGGTGCGGCAGCGGGATTAGTGGAGCCGAGGACGGCAACTGGGAGCTGGAGAGCGAAAACGCCTGAGGCTGACGGCAGGATACGCCAACATCCGGTGACAGCGCCGGGCCCAGCGCTGGGGCGGGACACCGGGATCCCTGTGCGGCGCTGAGGAATCCCGCACCGAGCGTGTGCGGCGCAGTGACCGCGTCACCTGTCTCCACTGGCCGATTCCTCCTCCGGGAGCCTACAACAGCAAGCTGGGGACAGGACGCGCTCATCTCGGGAAGTCACGGTCGCCCGATGCGGACAGGGCGAGGTAGAGGAAGGGCACCGGCCGGACCCGTCCCACCATCAGCGCCCTTTCACAGCGCGCCGCTCGCTGACCGATCGCGCCCCGGTGAGTACTCGTTAGCCGTATCAGAGCTCCCCGCGCATCGGTGGTCACGGGCGGCCGGCGCGCGCCCGCCGAGAGGCCGGCCGGGGAAAGCGGTGGCCGCCGGCTCTGCAGCAGCCTCTCTGGGTCAGGCCGCCGCCCGACGTCACAGGTCAACGCTCGGCGCGTCTCGTTAGTCGCCGCCGCCGCACCAGCTGCACGCCGAATCGCGGATTCTGGCCGACGGCCGGGAAAGCGGGCCCGAAGGTCAACAGCGGACGGCCGATCGGCCGGCGTCGGCGGGATTTCGCCGGGGTGTGCGCGCACGCCGACCGCCCAGCCAGCTGACCCAGATGTCGGCGCGTCGAGCGGCGGGCTGCGTGGGCAAGGGTGCTGGTGACCTCGGAGTGCGACGCCCGGACCCCTCATCTGCATGCCAGACATGACGGACGCCGGCCGTCGGCAGACGCGCAACACACGCGTTCGCGGCTGAGAATGCATATGCATGAACGGAAAGGCGAATGGCGACCTCGCTTATGAGTCGACATCAGCATGTGGACAAAGCCTTCATAGAGGAGGGTCTGATCGAGGGAAACGGTCTCAGGCACGAAACAACGGTCGTTTCACGCCCTACGGACTCCTCCTCAGGAGACCCCAAGGCTTCTTGGCTTTCATATTCCTGATGCTCCAGACGAGAGAATCGGGACAACAAATAGGCATTGTTTAAAGGCATGAAACTTATCTCACAACAACCAGCGATCTCCTTGCTCGTGTTTATCGCTCAGGGCGCAGAGAACCTTCCAGTCGAGGCTGTTGTTCATTATCAGCATAATCATTTTGAACAGATACGTCCATCATCTGCTATTGGTATACGGAACCAATCAGAAAGGGAAGGGCTCTCGTTATCAGTGAGCCATGTAATGGACATGACAATCAAATTTGCCTCGCTTAGGCCTCTCTCGTTCTTATTGAATAAAGTATGGCCGTGCACGACGGCCTGCACAAACAGTTACATTCTTCTAGCCATCATTTTCAGGCAATGGCAAGTTCGTGCTTTACCTACATTGCCCTTCTAAACGCTTCCTGTTTGCACGACATGCGAGAGCATTTATTGTTCCGGTACTGTGTTTGCATATATCGCAGCGACAACATGACGCTATATTGCATTGCGCAGTATTCTCAGTCAAACAACACACAAAGCGTGCTGTTACTTTGCTGAACACACTTGTTCCCACATGCCAAAGACTTTTCGCATTTGCGAGCACAGATTGCCCCCACCTTCCAGGCGCTTGCGTAAAGACAGGTGGTTGCCCGTTTTGGTAGTTTTTCAAGGTTAAGCGTTTTGAGATATCCTTTGAAGGATTCAGCAGAACCAATTGTTTCCGTAGTTGTGCACAAGATCCGGTAAATGGGCAGAGGTCAACTAATAAGGACTTAAAAAAACATACTCACAGGAACTAATCCTTCTCAGACTACTGGGCATACATGGCAACATATTGTTTCTACAATCTTTTCCAGATAATGATCAAGTGAAGTCCAGTCTGGAAACAGAACCAAGGCTCGAGCGTTAATGCTTCCAGGTACCTCTCAATAAACGGACTGGAACAGACAGGCAAACAAAACAACAGCCAATCACCCCACAAATCGCATGACTACCGAGAAGACAGCATAATACGAAGTCCCCGAGCTATCAATGGAGGCGCACATCTGTCTTAAACCCACCATAACGTATGCGCGAACGCTGGGCAAACAGCTGTCGCCTCCGAAGGGCCGCCGCACAAACAGAAAGCGTCACTTTTTCACGCTGAATACTTCCGGTGGGCCGATCTCTCCCGGCCGCCGGCTGGCCGGCCATGGGTAATGCGCCGAGCGCTGCCGGCGGTGCGGCCGCACTTTCTCGAGAGCGGGGTGCGCCCCCCACCGCGCGTGGCCGGACCACACGGCGCTGTCCAGCCACTGGCCGCAATCTGCATTTATTAGCAGGTGAGCGGAGAGGCCAGACGGCCGGTGTGGCCGGCGGCCGCCCGCGCCAGGGCCGCCCCGGTTATTTCCGTCCGGTCGCGTGGCGTGCGTGAAGGTGCCGCCCAGCGATGTTTGCAAGCGGATGGGCGTGACGCTGTGTTTTGCGGTTCCCCGCCTGGCCGGCGCCACGTTTGCGGATGCGGGCTGGCCGATGTCGGATCTGAGATGCGGCCATAGAGCTGCATGTCGACCGCGCTGAGTTTCAGTCGTTGACACCGCGATTTGTCGTGGCCCAGGGCATGTCCAACTCCATGACAGACGTGAAATCCAGATAGTGCTTCTAATAAAAGCCTCCCAGAAATATCCGCACGACTCGCTCTCATCACGGCGTGGGGAAATCTCACGGGGGCTATCATCACGTGAGACTGGCGGCGGAGCAGCTCGGGCGCGGCTTCTACCGCGACTCCGGCGCGGCTCCGGTCACGGCCACTGCGAGCCGCCACTCGCGACCGGCTGTCTGTCACGGCCGAGCGGCGGCACTGCGGCGGCCCGTGACCCGACGTCGGGCTGGCCGGTTCGGCCGGTCGGGTCTGGTTCGTTCCGGTCAGGTCTGGGCAAGGGAGGGCGCGTCTCGGCCACCGCACACTGATCACGGTCCGGACAACGCTGATAACATTGTCTGTGGCGTGCTTCGACACACGCCGCGGGTTGTCATAACTAGAACCCGACATCGATAGCATCCACCAACCGTAACTGTTCGGGATGCATTATTGATGGATTTATTGCTGATGTTCCGTGATGCGTCGCCGGCAGAGTTAATTTGCGACCACGATCTGGGTACGGAACGGCTTAAGCAACAGAATTGCCCACTTATCCACAACGCGGACTCCAGATGCTAGGTTATGATGGTGGTTCGGGGCTCCAGCTGTTTTGTTGTTCACTGGCCTTCCCATACAAATGACCAACAACGGTTAAACGTCTGGCCAGTCGCGCACAAGAACTGAAGGTCATCCAGCGTCGGAACTGTTCCAAGAGAAGTGAAAACATCTTATTAGATGTAAATATCACGCATGTACGTTGCAACATCACACAAAGGGCGCAAGTGGGAATTCCAAGTATGCGCCTGGTCGCGAGCGCAGTTCGGCAAGCCAGCTACCCTAGGTCACCGTATGCGCGTATCCTCTCGATTTTAAGGTAAGAAATAGGGACACTTTTGGGATTTCACAATGTGGGGAGGGACAACTTCAACGCTTCAGTGAAAATCAAGGTTGGCACGCCGCAGTCGCGCATCACATGCGCATCCAAAGTGACAACTTCCCGGAGTGTTCCCCAGGCATGGCATCTGTTGTATCTGTCATGACAGCCGTCACAACATCTATCAAACTTTTGTCATCACGTCTGTCGCGAGGAAACCGCGACAGACCATGACACATGGAGATTATTGTTGAATGAACGGTATTCAAAAGATAAAAGGTCGTGTTAAGCGCGTAGCTGACAAAGCAGCAGAAGTGATGGAATTTGTCATCTCTGAAAATGACGTATTTTCTGCAAGATGTTTTGTTCTAAGCCTCTCCTGATCGGGGTCAGGTCCCACACCGTGGATCACCCCCCCCCCCCCCAGTTGAATTATGAGGTTTTTAAAGCCCAAACAGCGCCCAACATCGCTCTGAGGGATACTCGCTAATTTTAGGGACCCTTGTCGTTCTTTATTACACAAGCCAGAGTACAGGCTGGCTAGTGAAACCCTGAGGAGACTGTGCGCCGTCCTAGAGTCACTTAACTTGGAGCCTGGTAACGGGAGTGGGGGAGGGGGAGCGATCTCTGAAGTCCAAACACCAGGTCCCTCCCCGTCGCTAATCTGCGAGTCCGGACAGCCGGGAGGAGAAGCGGCCGTCGCGGTCCGCTTGCCGCGCAGTTGGAGAGCAGCAGGGCCAGCCGGCCGACCAAGGTTGTAAACAGACCGCATTCTCCTCATCAGCGAGCGCGCCCGTCCGTCCGCTCGCGGCAGGAAACGAAAGCGGAGCGGATCCAGCGCAAACGGCCCGATCAGGCTCAAAATCAATCGGCTGACTGGCCTTCTGCGCACCGGATGCAGCGCGTTGAACCGGCGTTCGACGTCGTTACAGCGTGCGCTGAGTTAGTCGGTTTATCCGCTCTTACTGACAACCCCGTGATGAGTAGCATTGCGTATGTGCGAGGGTGATGGGGCTATTCTATGAATGCTTCGTTCCGCGCAATGCAAAGAATCTTCGATGCTCGGCACGAGCGGTGGAAAACGCTGCGCAAGCCAAATGTAGAAGTTTAAGGTTGTTTAGCATTGCGCTACGTCTTCTTATGCCAAGCAAATGTCTGCAGTGCCAGATTGGATCGTGAAGTGTCCGTCATGGCTCCAAGGACGACCTCTGTTCACCAATCTTCACAACACCAGCAACCATCGCTACCAGGATGTGAGTGCTGTGGCAGTCAAGACTTCAACTAAGCTTGCAGACGAAAACCGAAATAACTGATCAAACTTTTCTGTTAAGCTCGTAACGTGTAATCCTAGGATGTTTCTTGGGTCGAAATCCTCACAAGCTAATCCTGGTGTGAACAGTGTGCTGAGGCTGCGCCGTGGTTTGAGTCGGGCGGCCGTTTTGCTGACGTCCCCGGACGGCCGAGTTCAGATCGGTATCATGTGCCGACACCGCACGACGTCGGCCTCCGATCGCCGTGCGACGTCCACGTACAGCCCCCGGACGGCCGAGTTCAGATCGGTATCATGTGCCGACACCGCACGACGCCGGCCTCCGATCGCCGTGCGACGTCCATGTACAGGCAAAAGTGCATTGTGCGACTCACGAGCGGGGAGCGAGCTGTGGGAACCTGCTACGCGTCTGGACGAACTTTTGACGGTGAGATGCCTTGGCGCTCTCGTTTTCAGATCTGATGTGACCCTGGGAAAGTTATTGCCGTCGACGGCTGGGAAAAGCAATGGATCATACGGATGTAGGCGCCCGATCTTCATCTTTTCTTGATAAAAGGCAGGTGCCGATTGTCCGTAAACACAGACTCTCACATACAGCCCGGGCTACCCGGGCTAAGTGCAGCCCGGATTTTCGAGTCGGTGACCGACAGAGTGAAAAATGTTTCCGGACGCGACGAACACCGAAACACTCATACAGTGTCATTCCCTGGTCACACGCAGAGTAAAACGGGTAAGGACACGACTGACATACCACTAACGACAGGATAACGCAGAGCCGCCCGACACCGACAGCCATCGGAACCGGACCCGTCACCTCGAGACCGGACGCCCCCTGTGACCTCTGAAGGACGGCGCTTGACCCCACACCGAGGGCAGTCCGCCTCGCGGGCCGGCTGCTTACCGGCGCCGGTCAGCTCTGATCGATGGCCGACCTATGCAAAATATCGATTTCACCGACCCTGCCCGCGCGCTCGAGGAAAGTTAAATGAGGATTGTATTCATGGCCGCGAGTGCGCGCACACCAGATGTGCCCCGTGGCGGCGGCAGCTTCGGTCATCAGCGGAAGGCGGCGCTTCAGAAGTGGCCCGGCACGGAGGCAGATTACCCGGCTGGGCGACTGCGAAGGCCATGTGGGTTTCTGCCGGCCGTTAGTGTATGGGCTGTGTGCCACAATATCACTCAACGCTGTCTGTGCCCGCCACTCTCCTCCACACGGCCAAGAGTCGAGCACATTCCACCCCCAGATAGAGTCTTGCTAATGGGTGACGAGAGGGAGCGCGTGCCTTTCGGTCAGTGGAGTAAAGGTGATTTATGGTTCATGCCGCCAGACGGCCCACCCCCGCAGAGGCACGGCCGGCACGTACCACCGCGTCCGGCGTCCGGACCAGTCTTCCAACGAGCGCGGCTGTCAGTCTGCTGAGCTCACCTGGGTGACCCCATTCTGACGAGGCTGCTGGCGCGAAGCGTATTGTTTGAATACAACAGCCTTGAGGACACAGGCCGCACGGGCAGTGAACGCTGGCTTCGACAAAGCGTATCTAGAGCGGCAAGCAGCCTGGCTTGCGTATAAAAATGGCATTCTCGCCAATCTTGTAGACAAGAGTGGAATGTCAAGCCAGCTTAGGTCAATACGTGCGAAGAAAGCTGTTGAAACACTTGACCGGCGGAAAGAGATTGCGGAAGAAGGCACCTCAACCGTAGCGAGCACAATGCAGGCTAATTAATTGATAGTCAAGGGTAGTTACTAACTTAAGACGTTATTAACGCCAACGCTTTAAAATCACAATAACGAGATCGTTGGTCTACTTATTAAAGGCTGGGCAGTGTCGCGCAGCAATACTGGCATTGTCATTAAAATGCAGCTAGGGTAACCATCAAACCTCGGACCTGCAGTCACTGTTGTTTAACGAATACATCTTGTTATCGTCCTACGCCGTGAAATGTTCTCTTATTGCATTATGTGCAGACAGCGGTTTATGACCAAACTCGGTTGCCCTCAATATACATGTCCTTTACAAAGAATAAAACTTGATATGGCGTATTGCGTCTCCTCTGTAGTTGTTTTTAACTCCAGTTAGTCACACCTTTTAGAAGAGGAGATCCTATTTCCTGCCGAACGCTTCACAAGTATGTCAGGAAATGACGTATGAAGGAATGGAGAGAGAGAGAGAGAGAGAGAGAGAGAGAGAGAGAGAGAGGAGAAGAGAGAGAGAGAGAGAGAGAGAGAGAGAGAGAGAGAGAGAGAGAGAGAGAGAGAGAGAGAGAGAGAGAGAGAGGAGAGAGAGAGAGAGAGAAGAGAGAGAGAGAGAGAGAGAGAGAGAGAGAGAGAGAGAGAGAGAGAGAGAAGAGAGAGAGAGAGAGAGGAGAGAGAGAGAGAGAGAGAGAGAGAGAGAGAGAGAGAGAGAGAGAGAGAGAGAGAGAGAAGAGAGAGAGAGAGAGAGAGAGAGAGAGAGAGAGAGAGAGGAGAGAGAGAGAGAGAGAGAGAGAGAGAGAGAGAGAGAGAGAGAGAGAGAGAGAGAGAGAGAGAGAGAGAAGAGAGAGAGAGAGAGAGAGAGAGAGAGAGAGAGAGAGGAGAGAGACGAGGAGAGAGAGAGAGAGAGAGAGAGAGAGGATGAGAGAGAGAGAGAGAGAGAGAGAGAGAGAGCGAGAGGAGAGAGGAGAGAGAGAGAGAGAGAGGAGAGAGAGAGAGAGAGAGAGAGAGAGAGAGAGAGAGAGAGAGAGAGAGAGAGAGAGAGAGAGAGAGAGAGAGAGAGAGAGGAGAGGGGAGGAGAAGAGAGAGAGAGAAGAGAGAGAGAGAGAGAGAGAGGAGAGAGAGAGGAGAGAGAGAGAGAGAGAGAGAGAGAGAGAGAGAGAGAGAGAGAGAGAGAGAGAGAGAGAGAGAGAGAGAGAGATAGAAGAGAGAGAGAGAGAGAGAGAGAGAGAGAGAGAGAGAGAGAGAGAGAGAGAGAAAGACAGAGGGCTACAGAGACGGAGCCGAGCGGCGCTGCCACTGACCTGATCTGTAGAGGAAGTTGTAGCGGGCAGACTTGCTGACGTAGGGCGAGTTCCCCGAGGTCATGATGGCCGAGTCGGAGTCGGAGTGGTAGCCGGATATGTCACTGCCGTCGCTCTCCTCCTGGTCCCCCGACACTTCCCGCATCAGCTTCAGCACCTGCAGAGCGGGGACATTGGTCAGTGGTTAGCCAGAGAGTATACAGCCGCATGGACCCCGTGCTGCGCTGGCCCCAGGTCAAGCCAAGTCAAACGGAAAGGCTCTTACCAGCTTGGTCTCATCGCTGAGCATGTAATGTGATGTCAACTGAAGCGGAGCAAAAATTATTTTTATAACGCAAGAGGCATGACATTGTTCGAGTGATGCTCGCCGTGTTTCTGCCATCGGCACAGCATTGCGCGCCATTGTGCATTGTGGTATTGCTGCGCCGCCAATCTGCTGAATGCTGCGTCAGAGCGAACACCAGAAGGTCAACGTCATCCATGGCTGGCCAAACCGACCAAGCGTGAGGAAGCGTGCCCAGCCATGCGCCACGCCCCACGTGGTGCGAGCCCCGCCGCGGTAAAACAGAGTAAAGTCTGCCTTTATGGCCCGTGGTCTTGTCCGTGTTCGAAGGGCGAGACCGAGACCGGCCGCGTCGCAGGCGGTCTGGCTGGAGCTCGGGCGCGCAGCTGCGCTACGTTCTGTGTGCCGCGGATCGGCCGTGCCCGGCTGTGATGCTGGCTGTTGGGGCTGAACGGGCTGTTCAGCGGCCACTGGCCAGATCAGCCCCAACAGGCAGCCAGTCAGCCGTGCGGCAGACCAGTTCGCGGGAGCTCCGCCGCAAACCAGGACTGCCATCGGGATACGAGAGTCGAAGCTAGTGGATGAAAGGGAGGCGGCCGTTAAGCGCAGTTCTGCTGTAGACGCTTTTGCTGACTGCGAGGGCGTCAAAGTGCCGGTGTTGCGTCCGTGGGGAGCACCACCGTGACTTTATGAATTAAATATCGCCAATGAACATCCTGCAGTTCTAAAGCATTTCTGTGGTCGCCAAAAGCGCGTTTTCACTTTCTCCAGTAGTAGATTTGTGAGATTAAATGAATCCAGCGCTATAAGGAAGCGAAATGGTAATTAACTGTCGGATTAGCTCTCGGATTAAGCAATACCGCTTCTAGTCGCCTGCTAGTAATTTAGTAATCGCATGGAATTAGACTTTCCCAAGAGTAAATGCCCCCGACTCCATTCGTGGCCTTTGTAATGGGAGTCCTGACAATGTTCCCTTCACACGAGCAAATTCCCACGGCGGAAATGAGCCATTTCCTCAGCGTTAATGTCACGATCAGCTACGGCTCAGACGGCGGGGCCTTCGGGCGTCTCGCAGACGATCGGGGCGGGGCAGCATGCCGGACAGTCTGGTCTGACGGGCAGTCCAGACAGCTCAATCAGTCAGACAGCCCAGTCTGACAGGCGATCCAGACAGTCAAGCGGTCCGGACTGATAGACAGCCGGAGTAACAGACAGTTCATATAGTCAGACTGTCCGGACTGACAGGCGATCCAGACAGTCAAGCGGTCCGGAGCAATAGACAGCAAGACAGCCTGGAAGTTCAGACAGCCAGACAGTCCAGTCGCTGGCCGTGGCGGGATGGTCTGTTGACTGGCAGATCGTGTGTCATACCCAATGGTAGAGCGTTCAGCCCGCCACCGGCTTGGACAGCCTTGACTGCCGGTTTTTAATGTCGTGCTGTGCGTTAGTTGCCCGCAAGTTGTTTCTACATTTATTCTTTCCACAAAATTAGAATTCATTTGTGGCCATTATGAAGATGCACTCGCCACGATTTGCAATTTTCCAGTATTCCTATAGCAAGCGATGTGAGAATGCTAGCAGGTGCTGCGATTACAAAGGTGGTTCTACTGAATGCCTGATATTTGTCTCAAACGGTTACATCAAATGAGGACAACAGGGCTTCAAATTAAACGGTGTATTAGTGACGTTGATACGTCGGGTGGCAAATGAGGAAGGTAAGCTGACTAAAAAGATCAGTCTAATTGATATTTAACCTAGTCTGAGTAATCATCTAGGAGAAAGGGTAAAATACACCCTTGCCATTCAGAGTGATGTTGCTGTCTGGTAAAAAACTTTGATGGGTTCCATGGCGTTCTGAACTGGCTTATACCACTTTAAACCACATTACACCACCCTCAGAGTCTGTTTTTACTTTATCTTGTCACGCCGTATAACGGTGTTGTGCCAAAGGTATGCAACCTACTACATCAGGTACCCTTATATTTCGTTAGCGCCATCGCGTACTCATTGTACTGGACAGCAGGATGGGGTCATTTGATAATGTTTAAATATGGCCGAGACATCCTTTTGATCAATGGATGGTGGAAATTGCCGTATGGTGAGTCAGGTAAAGGCTTTACTATTGCTCCTCGAAATTGACACGCATATAACGCGTTGCCACCAAGCGATGATCCAGTGTGCCTTATCGCCACACCGGCGTCAGTCTGTGGCCGATCTCACCAGCGCATATTGATTTATCGAGCGGTGCGGCTGCGTGCCGGCCGACCCTTTCCCAGTAACAACGGCCGCGCTCCTCGCCGCCGCCGGCGTCCAGTTCCTCTCCCCCGTCGCTGCCCGCGTCGCCGGCCGGCCGCAGAGCCGCTCAATTGGCTGACCCCGCTGACCCGCGGCGGGCGATCAGAGCGCGCGGGCCGCGCCGCAGCGCGTGACGCCGCAGCCGAGGGCCGACCCGGGCCACGCCCCCTAACGACTTGATGACACCGCGCCGACGCGGCGTCGCGTGTCGAGGCGAAATGATTACGGGCGAACTGGAGGGAGGCGACACCGCGCTAATGTCCCGGACACTAGCACGAAGGGTGACGCCCGTGCGCCTGATGACGATTTAACACGATCGTTCATGCGGTTCAAGTGGGGTGAACGATCATGGCCCACATACATTGTAGTCGTTCTCAATGTCTACGTTGTAGAATAACAGTTTACCACGGATGTGTCAACGAACACTGAAGGGCATCGCGGAAGGACAACATTTTGCCCAGCTGCCAGTTGTCGCTCGTTCGTGTAAACCCCGTCCCAGGTTAGCAAACCTGCGAACAATGCAGATCCTTCTTCGTTGACGCCCTTTGGTGAGATTCATTTCAGCTGTTTTTTCCGACCCTCGGATTCATTTCAGCTGTTTTTTTCCGACCCTCGGGGACACAGCATTCCCATTTACGTTAGCACTATCAGTCAGGAAAAGGGACCAGGAGATGCGTAGCACCTTTGCATAGCCCTTTTCTTTGTTAAAGTTATAAAAGGAAATAATGTTTTGCATCGATAGCTTAGGCAGCAAGCTCCTAGCCTACCATGGCTTGCTCTTGAGACAGTGAACAATCACTCCAGTTGGGCAATTCTGGTTCAACGGAGCATAGCTTGTCTTGATCTGTCACCCAAATAGAGCTAATGCCTGTATTGTGCAATGTCATGACAGATATCCAAAACTAGGTCTGTCACGCTGTTGACCGTACGTCCTACCAACAGATGACCAACTGAGCTACGCTGACTGAGCTTAAGCATTTGTTTGCTACTCCTTTGCATCCGCGCTGATTTCGCATTCGAAAATTTTGTCTCAACCCATCCAACTTGAATACTGCTACACATCACGGGAATGCTGGACTCAGAGGATTGCGTCAAATTCAACCAAATAGACATGGTTTACACAACTAGCAAGACAGCTAAGCTGTGGCTGAGAATGGAAAAAGGCGTCCAGAAGTAGGCAGTTTTAGCTTAGAGTGTGCTTTACAATCTCACACTTTCATCACATCGCGAAGCAATGGTTGCTTGGGATTTTGCAGAACACGGGTTGGGCAACTCTGATCGTGCTAACGCAGATACAAAAGGATGCGTCCGTAATGTCTACCGCCGCGCAGTGTAAGAAGCATTCCCCGTGTGGAGATAATGCAGAGCTTGGCTCTTGAGGCACGCTTGCCTGTATAGCTTAATGAGCTCACTTTAACGCATAGCATAGGAAGTCGCACACACGACGATGAAGTGCTGTTATCATGAGCTTCCACGGGTGGCGGAGCTCACGAAGGCACGTCTCTTGGAGAACACCCACCCATAACTAATGCCCAACATCGCATTTCCTCGCAGCATTTTCGACCGGCGAAGTACACGCACCGTTACAGCCGCGCGCACTCTAATAACAGCAGCGGTCGCAAACCGGCGCGCCGGCCTCCGATGGGCACGAACCCGTGCGCCATTTACGCCGGCGCGGCGTTCGCGGCGCGCCGCCGCGGCACCAACGGCGGAGCATCACGGCAGGCACGGCGGGGCGTCACGGGGACCGTGGGAGCGGCGGCGCGCGCCGGGTGCCGGCCGTTTCCGGTGCGGCCGGCGCCGTCGCGGCCTGCCGGCGGCGCCGGCCGCCCGCGGACCGTGCCGCTGGGGCCGGGCCGCCTCGGTTCCCGGCGACCGATGAACGCCCCGGAGACTGTGATACTGGCCACGGCAGTAGCACCGCGCGTGGGAGTGTACGCGTGTGTGCGCGTGGATGACCGCAGAACAAACACTGCGGCGATGCGTCGCCTTTGTCGGCATGTGCGCCGCTGAGCTGGGTGAGACAAATATGCCCTATTTGCTATCAGCTTGTGCACAAGCAACACTGTCGCCCCGTTCTCCTCGAATGCCACTGTCGATCCAATGCATCCATGGAGGCGGGCTGCCGTCTGAGCCGAGCTAGCGTCACACACTGGACCGCGGCATACCTCGCGGCCTCGTGACGGCATGGAGGCGGGCTGCCGTCTGAGCGGAGCTAGCGTCACACACTGTACCGCGGCATACCTCGCGGCCTCGTGACGGCATGGAGGCGGGCTGCCGTCTGAGCGGAGCTAGCGTCACACACTGGACCGCGGCATACCTCGCGGCCTCGTGACGGCATGGAGGCGGGCTGCCGTCTGAGCGGAGCTAGCGTCACACACTGGACCGCGGCATACCTCGCGGCCTCGTGACGGCATGGAGGCGGGCTGCCGTCTGAGCGGAGCTAGCGTCACACACTGGACCGCGGCATACCTCGCGGCCTTGTGACGGCGTGGCAGCCAGCCCAGGATACAGAACGGCCCCGGGAAGAGGACGGCCTCGGATAGAGAACGGCTTCGGGTAGAGGACAGCCCCGGGTG